CACTAAGCCATCAAATCTTCCTCAAAGATAGTAGCATCTCTAAAATCTCCTTTGGGAAATACAGTTATTTTATGGGTCCAAGAGATGAAAAGGCTTAAAGCACCTAATTTCATCAATTCTCCTACCTCCATGTTTTATGAATATGAGATATTAACTTAGTATTATTTGTTTGTTGTTATGCCTCATCAATTTGGAGCCAACTCATAGCTGGTCCTCCAGCAGGTTTTCAGAGGTTGTAAATTGCATAGGAGAAGATTGCTTATTTTTTCCCCCACAGAATACCTGGTGAATTTGAACCACGTGGCTAGTTTTATGTGTCTGATTTAGGATCTGGGCTTCCTTCCATATTAGATACTCGACTCTGTTTCAAGAAACCCTGAAATGAAAGCAAACCATGTTCCTCCCCAAGTATTTGTCAACTTGTTCAAATCCTCAAGAGTGATCTTTATAAAACATCCTTCTTAGCAATAAATAATGTTATGTTCTGCCTCTTAATGTCAGAAGTTTATCATTTACAGCAGGAAGTGTGCATAGTATGTTGCACATGGTATGAAGCTGTTTGTGACAGAGGTAGGAAACAAGTAGGTAGAAAAGAAGCAAGCACAGCAGATGGAAGAGAGAGACAAAGAATTATGAGCTAATAGCCATGGAGATAAAGTCCCAACCTATATTCAGTATTTACTGTTACTACCTAATAAATGTCATCATCTATACAATCATGAAAGTACCTGTTTTTTCACCAAAAATTCCATAGTTATCTAGAACTTACACATTATAACTACTCACAAAATATTACTGGCTGACTTTTGTGTAGCTGGACTGGAGACATGTGAAGCCTGGAAGGAGGGACACTCTGGTCTATCTAGATTAAAACATCTCCCTCCTTCCCAACCTTAATGTGGCAAATATCAGGATTTTAAAAATATTTTAAAAGCATTTTTCAGCATCAAAAATGGTGGCTATTTTAAATTTCTCCTTCAGTCCTTTCACAGTTGCTGCACAAGATTAAATTGATAATTAGGAGTCTGAGAGATACAAAGGATTACAGCAAACATGATTGTTTCTGATGTTTTAAAGATACAATCCTAAGAAGCCCTGGTGGCAGAGTGGTTAAACACTGAGCTGCTACCCAAAAGTGGTTCTATGGGGCAGAAGAACCTAGTAACCTGCCCTTGTAAACATGCCAGCCCACAGAGCCCTCTGGAACAATCTGCAATGACCCAGTGGCAGGCAACAGCAGTACTAGAACTCATCACACACTTATTTGTATATGGCTCTCCTTTGGAAATTTTTAATTTAACCTTCTAGTTAGACATCTGTTAATTCTGACTTAATGTGCAGAATCAAACTACTCCATAGTGTTTTCAGGGCTGTGACGTTGCAGGCCCATGTTGGCTGGCACCTCTAGGTTTGTCCCATCAGCTTTTAGGCTGTTGGTTGAGCCCTTAATTAATTACACCAAGCAGGTGTTTCCACTTCTGAGAAAAAGAGGCTTGAGTGAACTTTCTCTGATAGACATCAACCCCTCCAGACCTCACTGTAATTACTCCTGCTCCTTTTTTTCCCAGGAAGCACTTTGAGCAAGAAAACCTAGTTCCTGCTCACAAAGCTGTGTTGTGGTTTCTGTTGAGGCCCAGTGACGTGGGCATTGGATCAGCTGCACACTTAGTAAGACAACTCAGTTGTGTTAAAGCTTTGAGCAAGTCAGAGTTTAGGAAGATTGGGTTTCTCTGACCCTTCTAGACCTGAGGTTTATAGTAGGTTATGACAGAATCTGAAGCAGTTTTATTCACATAAATACTCACTTCACATAACTTTTCAAATTAATTGCTATGGCAAATGCTTAGCAAGAAACACAGCATTTGCCCTACTGGTCTCCTATTAAGATTTTAATACTTTGCCTTTTTATTATAAAACCATATTCCTTATTTAATTTTTTACAAAACTTGTACTTGTTGTAAAAGCAAACTTATTTTGAAAGAATTTTGTGAGAATTAAGATGATAAACTTCTACTCAGTTTGAACTTCTAAATTTTTGCTAATGACCACATACACAGAAGCTAGGGAAGGAAAGAAACTGTACCTCTTTCCTTTACTCCCTCTAAAGAACATAGAAGATGGAGACAAATGCAGGCTTTTGTCTCAGCTTCTGAGGCTTCTATCTAGACTCCTGAAGTAAACTCCGTATTTGCTGGAAAATCTCTCCCATCTGATTTTTTCCTCCTGTATTCATCATTTCCTCACATGTTCATCATTTTCTCTCATGTTCATCATCGCCATTCTTCTTTAGTTAACTCTTTCAACTTGCAGCTCTAAACACTACTCAAAAATAAGTGAGTCGAGCAGCACCTAAAGTAGTGCATGCTCCTGTCTGTCTTTTCCTCAGACATCTAGCAGTGTCAGGGAAAGCACATTCATCTTGATTGACTCCAGAAAGAAGAAAAGAAAAAAGAATCACTTAGAGAAAGTGTCTCTTCCCAGCTGAACTTGTTACTCTTAGTGAAGCAACTTGGGGTTGGCATAACCAGACAAAGGTTGATGATGCAGAACCTTGGGCATCTTCAGAAGGAAAGAAAACCTTGCCAAAGGCTACCATGGTGAGCCTGGTGTATGGATGAGCTGGCTCAGAAAAACAGGTGCCACCTTTTAGAAGCCAGACTCTGTGAAGAAGAACGTGGCATCAGAGTTGGAGGAAGACTCCTCTACAGCCTGCGCTGATGTTGAAGGCACAGCCTTACTTGCTAAAAGTGAGGAGGAACTGAAGTGCTTGCTGCAGAAGTTCAAAGACGATAGCCTTTAATGTGGATTACAAATCTCAACATCAAGAAAACAGAGGTCCTGACCATGGGGCCAATAGACAACATCATGATAGATGGAGAAAGCATTGAAACTGTCAATTATTTTCCCTTACTTGGAGCCATAATCAACAACAGCCTTGGTACCAGCACTCAGGAGACAGACATAGTGCTTTCAGCAAGGCTCCTGTCAGAACCTCTCCAAAATACTGAAGAACAGTGATATCATTTTGAAGACTAGGGTGTACTTGATTCAGGCTGTGGTCTTCAGTCACTTGCTGTGCATCTGAGAGCTGGACAGTGAATAAGGATGAGAATTTATACCTTTGAGTTGTGTTATTGGAGAAGAATACTGAGCACCCTATGGACTGCCAAAAGAGTGAATAGGTGTGTCTTGGAAAAGATGCAGCCAGAGTGCTCCGTGGAGGCAAGGATGGCAAAGCGTCATCTCTCATGCTCTGGATGTGTTACTAGGAGAGGCTGTTCTCTGGAGAAGGGATATCATGCTTGGAAAGGTTGAGGGTCAGCAAAAGAAAGGAAGACCCTGAATGAGATGGATTGACATGGTGACTGCAGCAGTGGGTTCCAGTGAATCAGAGATGATGAAGACGGCACAGGATAGGACAGGATTCACATCTCTTGTTCATAAGATCACCATGAGTCATCCTGTACTCAGTGGCACCTGACAGCAACAATCCAGAGAAGAAACTGCTCATGTCTTCTGGAAGAATAGATGATCTCTCAAGTTTTGTTACAAGGCTATAAATAGACTCCATTTCATTTTTTTCTTTTTATTTTTATTTTCCATTTATTTTTGCTTACTTAAATCACTTTATAGTTTATATGGAATTTAAAAAGGCCTGGCTAAATCTCTGGAATATACCTCACATACTTTTTTAAAATGCTTAATTGTTTTGCCATTTTGGAGAGCTGTGCAATATTGGACTCAAATGTGCATAATTTCAAAGTAAATAGTTGACACTTTTTAGCTGTGTTCAAGTTGAAGTTCTGGGAGTGTCATCCTTTGAGAATTGTGCTGTTAACACATAGGTAGCACCTCTCGAGCAGCTTGAACCCACCAGCTGCTCCACAGAAGAAAGTGGGGGGCAGCCTCCTCCTGTGTGGTTTACAGCCTCTGCATCCCACCTAAGGGTCAGGTCTAAATCTGCTCCAACTCTATCACAATAGGGCTTTTTATTACTATTAAAATTATATTTGTGTTGCATAACTCCTTGACAGACTCTGATGGCTTAGTGGTGAATTTCTTTCTCAAAGGTAAGCAATGCAGATCCCACCATCTTCCCCACAGGAGAAAGGTGGGCAATCTCTGGTGCTCAATTGACAGCCTCCAAAAATCTGCTGGAGTGTCAGCTATAAATTGATTCCAACTTGAAGGCACCTAACAGCAAATAGCGTAGTACTGAAACTCAAGATTTTGGAGGGTTGTTTGTTGTTGGTGTGTGTGTTGTTTTTTTTTTTTTTAATTGTCATTAAAACCACGAAAAAGTTGTAGGTTACACGTGAACTTACTCAGTAATTTTAAAATCTCTTCAATCAATTTCTTTTTTAAACATTTCCTGAGTGGCTGTCGTGTGCCAGCTGTGGACCTTGCTTATAAAACCACAAATAAGAATAAAATGTACCCTCGTGGAGCTTACAATCTAATGATATTAAAATAGCTATGACAGCTAAGTATCTACTCTGAGCAGTAGAAAGCCTTTAAAGTGGAAATCAGATCCTTTGCAGGTTGGGCAGTGTCTCTCCCTCTTGGTGCTGTGAGCTCTTTGAATAGTGGTGCCTTCAGAGGATAGTGTGAGAGGAGTTAGGGGAGACATTGATCTAGGAAACTATGGAAGAAAGAAGATAACTTCCTGGGGACTCAAAAGGTGACATTTCCTCCCAGGAATTAGTATGTGGAGAAGGGATGGGAAGGATAGACCACCCACTTTTTGGATAGATATTTGCAGAATATTAAACAAAACTCATATCTGCATGCTTAAATTGCTTCAAGCTAAATTTTACCAATCACTGTTATTAAAATCTCTTTTTCTTTTAAAGAAATAACTACCACATGTTTGGCAAATGTTAACTAAAAATTCATCATGTTGAGTCTTATGTTTGATGTTAGCATATTTTAAATAATCCGTTTTAAATATGTGTCCAGTTGTGGATGCCTCTTATCTGATGAGTTCATCTCCTCCGCAGTTTCGGTGTCTGAACTGCTCAGCTTCGCAAGTCTGCCCTCAGGATGGCCCTTTGTATCAGGTAAGAGGCACTCACGGCTGTACATATGACCACAGCAATCCCCGTGTGACTGCTCCCGTCCCCAACGCAGGCAGACATGACTGTAAACTTTGTACTTATTTGAGCTCTAAAACTTGGTCTTTTCCATTTATATCCCTTCCCCACCTCCCCGCTTCATGTTATTTTAGCTTTCCTCCCCTGAGTTATCCATTTAGGTTTTCTGAAACAAGGGGGGAGGTGGGAATTCTAAATCTTAAACCCATTATTTTCAGTCAGGAACTGACTGTTAGGAACTGCCTTCTCAAGCTCTCTCATAAGTACTTGACATCTCTTTCCTCTTTTTAAGACCGAAAAAATAGTAATAAGATTTAACAATGTACTGGTAAAATTTAAACTTAGATTCTGATGAAAGTTTATCTAATAAAAACATGTTTAAAAAATTGAAAACACAAGATAGCAAGGATTACTGTTAGATACAGAGATGATCTTTGATCAGCTTTACTTAATCAAGAAATGGGTTAGTAATACCATTTTTTAAAATCTCCATTGCTGATTTATTCCCGGAGAACAATTGTTATTATGTGACAAACAGCTGCCACCTTGCCAGCTCTGTTGCCGTGTGGGCTTTATTTTGAGGCAGGGTAAAGTGAAACAGAAAAAAATGTCATCACTAATCAAAAATGTTTGGCAACTGAGCTGGAAGTTCCCTCAGTGGCTTCCTTAAAATTTATTCTTTAACTTATTTAAATTATAATGTTTAGTCAATGCAAAACAAATTAAGTGTCTAAAAAGGCTTAAGAAAATAATTTAGGAGGAAATAATGTATCTTTCTTCCTTTTATTACATTAGGCGTAAGGGATAAATTGGTAAAATTTGTATATATCTGCATTTTTTAGATGTTTCATCTGTGTTTAATAAATTGCAGGTATCAAGAGAGTTGACCATATGTGTCCTAAGAGCAAAGACTTTCTCATATATGACAAAAATACCCCAAAATTTGAATAATAATTTAAGTACTATAAAAGGTACTAAATCTTTACAAAGTTAAATTGTGACCTCTTTTACAGTACCAAATACCCTTGTACTTAAACCAGGTTCTTATTTAACTTGATAAAGCTAGACATTTTATAGTATATTGAGAAATGTAGAAAAGTAGGGCCTTCTGGTCAAGGTTACATCTTTAAAATGAATAACAGAAGGCACTTTTACTGTCACATACAAAAATGCATTTTACAGCTAGTGTAGTTTAAAACAATATTATTAACTGAAACACACACTTGCTAATAAAAGGAACCACTCAGGGACAAACAAATATATTTGAATCTATATAGATATACTTCAAAATAATCGAGAAATACAGAATTCATTTAACTGTGTGCTGGACATTTCTCTGTTGTTAGGTGCCGTTAGGTTGACTCATGTTGTTGTGTGCCATTGAATCAGAACTGACTCATAGCTGACCCTCCAGTGGGTTTTCAAAGGCATCAAATTACACGAGAAGAGATTGCCTATCTTTCTCCCACAGAGAAGCTAGTGGATTAGAACCATGAACTTTTGAGATGGCAGCACAGCCCTTTACCATTAAGCCAGAGCTCCCTCCTTTGACCCATATTGTCTACTCAAGAAAACCAAACACTATCCAGTCCTGTCCTATCCTCCCAATAATTTTTTCCCAGAATCCTCAGAATCTCCGTCTCCAGGGGAATAGAATATTTTTACAAGATGGTCAAGGAAAGGCCTCTTAGAGATGATAATTTTGATCAAAAGGAAGTGAGAGAAATAGCTGTGTAAGTACAGAGTAGAGTATGCCAGGCCAAAAGAGCACAGTTCAGGGTGATGAGAGGTCACATGGTGTCTTTGTGGATTGTAAGGGGGCCAGTGAAGCTGGAACTGAGAGAATGCAGGTTGGTTATTAGGAACTAAACTCAACGGTGTAAGTGGAGTTGGGAGTGCAGATCTTTTAGGCTCTGTTTTCACTTCATTTATGAGACTTTTGGTGGAGAGAAGGGTGAACATTCACCCCATAACTTCCATTATCCACCAGTGAATCAAAGGTGGCAAAAGCACCTAGAAAGTATAGCTGAGTATCTGATCTCAGAGTGGGGATGATCTTTCTCATTGTATTTGTAAATGAGAAAAACATAAAGGAAAAGTTAAGTTGAAAAGCAATCTGCAATAAAATAAGGAAATAGTTTCAAGATAAGAATGAGAAAGGTTTACGGTTCTTAATATGTAAAATACCCAAACATATTTGCAAGGAAAAGCTCAATTTTTCATAGAAAAATGAACAAGGAGCATGATCAGGCAAGTGACAAGAGATGCAAACACAGCATTAATAAGCATATGAAATTATTAACTTCTTCTAGAAACCAAAAAATGCTGTTTTATATTAAGTTTCCAAATAAAGAGCAGAAAATGGCAGTGCTTACTATTGGGGAAGCTGTGGGAGAATGGGCCCTCAGAACACTGTTGTTGTTGTTATGTGCCGTCGAGTCACTTGCGACTCATAGCGACCCTATGTACAACAGCCCTAAACTCCGCTCTGTCCTGTGCCAATCGCACTGTCTCTGATACACCCATCCCAATTATCCCAGTCACTGAATCAATCCACCTCATAGAGGGCCTTCCTCTCCTGCGCTGTCCCTCCACCCTCCCAAGCATGATGTCCTTCTCCAAGGACCGGTTTCTCCTCACAACATGTCCAAAGTATGTTAGATGGAGCCTCAGAATCCTTGCCTCCAAGGAGCCACCCGGTTTAACCCTTTCCAGGACAAATCTGTTTGTTTTCCTAGCAGTACATGGTATTCTCAGTACTCTTCTCCAGCACCACAGCTCAAAGGCATCAATTCTCCTCCCTGGTCATTGTCCAACTCTCTGATGCATAACAAGGATTGCGAAGACCATAGCCTGTATCAGACGCACCTCAGTCTCCACAGAGACACCATTGCTCTTCAGTACTTTGGAGAGGTCCCTAACAGCAGACTTTCCCATGGCAATGCGCCTTTTAATTTCCTGGCTGCTGGTGCCAAGACTGTTGACTATGGAGCCAAGCAAACTAAAGCTGTGTACAATCTCAATCTCCTCAACATCCATCCTGATGCTGCCAATTGGTCCAGTGGTGAGAATCTTTGTCTTCTTGACATTGAACCTCAATCCATATTGTAGGCTGCAGTCCTTGACTCTCAGAATACTAGACAAGTAAAAAGGAAACTGTTTAAGCCAGTATAATATGTATCAAATATGTTGTTTAAAACCAACAATTAGACTTGTAGGAACAAATCCTGGGGGTTAGGAACTTGTCTTGGGGAGTTAAAAATACCTCATTGAGTCAAGATAAAGTCAGAATATTTAAAAAAATGGAATAAACTCAAGTGTATAGCAAAAAAAGATATTTTTTCAAGTGGACAGTCTTGAGGATGCAGAGCACAATTCTCATTTTTAGGGAAATATGAGAGTAACATATTTACTAAAATTGTAGTTACTCTTTTCAAATGATAGGACTTAAGTAGTTTGCTTTTGTGCTTTTTGTATGTTTTTTTTCTTCTGCAATAAAGGCAGTTTACTTAAATGGGGGGATTACTCTTAAGGGGAAAAACACATCGGTCACTTTTTAAAATTTTCTAAATTTTTAATGTGTACTTTGATTTTTATTATGTGATAAAATTGAAGACTAGCAACTTGGAAATCTGAGTGCACTCACAACAATCACTTAATGCTGAGACACAGTGATGTGCCATATTTCTTTCCAATACGTGCGATGTCATTTTACCCAGAAAGCACAATTATACTAGACATAAAGTTTATAGAACATAAAGCACATCAGTAAGCCTCAGTGTTGTAACAAGTGTCATTTATTATCAAGCTGTTCATATTACCTAGAGTACCTGCAAAATACACAGAAGTATTCGTCTTCTTATATTGCCATAGAACAAACACGAATGTTTACTTGCAGTTACTTGGTGGTGGTAGTGACGGTGGTTACTTGGTGGTGGTGGTTGTTGTTATGTGCCGTCGAGTCGCTTGCGACTCATAGCAACCCTGTGTACAACAGTCCTAAACTCTGCTCGGTCCTGTGCCAATCGCACTGTCTCTGAATCAGTCCACCTCACAGAGGGCCTTCCCCTCCTGCGCTGTCCCTCCACCCTCCCAAGCATGATGTCCTTCTCCAAGGACCGGTCTCTCCTCACAACATGTCCAAAGTATGTTAGATGGAGGTTCCTTGGTAGGGAGACAAAAACATTTTTCAGCCAAAGAAGATAAAATTCCAAATTAATTATGTTAGCCAAGCCGTTTTTACTTCCTTCATCCCTGGAAGAATTCTTCATGGGATAGTTCTGTATATTCTGAAGGTACTCTAATATGAATAGCTTGGCAATTTGTGGGAAACCTGCGGTCTGAAGAATCAACAGTGGAGATTAAAGCTAGAAAGCTATTACAGTGAAGGCCAAACTGGGGGCTGATGGGGGACTTAGCACCAAGTTAGGATAGAGTGTTTAAGTTAGTCATCTCCGAACCTCAGAGAAACTCAGGAAGCTTGTAAAATGCAGATTCATGCATCATCTTACCAGATAACCTGACTCAAAGAGGTAACAGAATAAACTTTAAAATAATAACAATGAAATAAAATGAAAAGCAAGGTAGTTTTGAACTCTAAAAGCCCATTTAACTCCAGCCTTAGGAAGTGGTAGCATCTGATTTCCTTCAGAAGAAGCCCAGAGATGTTGCCTTTCCTATGCATCTGTTACATCTTGAGTGGAGTGGCAAAGAGACTCAGCATTGAGTCTTCTCTACGTGGAACACAGGTAGCTTTGATAAATGCTTAGAGGGCCATAAGGGCTTAAAGAATTTCACTTTCTTTCTGTCAGTATGGGAGGGGGGAAAATAAAATGTTGTTGATATGTACTGTCAAGTTGGAACTGACCCACAGTAACCCTCCAGTGGGTTTTCAGAGGCAGTTAATCAGTCAGGCGGGAGGAGATTTCTCATCTTTCTGCCATGGTATAGCTGGCAAAATCGAAATGCGTACCTTTGGGGTGGCAGTGCACTTCCTTACCACTCAGCCACCTGAGATAGATAGATAGATAGATAGATAGATAGATAGATAGATAGATAGATAGATAGATAGATAGATAGATAGAGGTAGATGTGATAGGTAGATATTATAGATATACATATTATACACATTATACATTGTTGTTGTTGTTAAGTACCATCGAGTCATAGGCGACTCATAGCGACCCTATAAACGAAAGTCCTGAACACTTGCATGACTTTCATCCTCTCTCCAGGTTCATAGGGTTTCCAGAGGCAAGCTGTTATACAGAAGTGGATGCCACTCCTGCTTCCAAGCTTGTTTTAATCGGGGAGCTCCAACAAGCACTGTCCACTATGGGTGACCATTAACACATTTGACTCCTCAGTGTCACAGTATTCAGCTTCATAACAACCACAGGTTACCTCTGTACAGCAAGTGGACACACCAGGGCTATACGACCTAGAAGAATATTTGAACAAAAACAATTAAAGACAGTCCTGAGGGCCGCGGATTATAGTCACCCACTTTAGGTTTGGTAGCATCACTTTCTGTCCACTAGGCCAACTGGTCTCTCTCTGTATGTTGTTTAAGTGCCATCGAGTCATAGGCGACTCATAGTGACCCTATGAACGAAAGCCCTCAACTCTTGTCTGACTTTCATCCTTTCTCCAGGTTCATAGGGTTTCCAGAGGCAAGCTGTTACGGAAGTGGATGCCACTCCTGCTTCCAAGCTTATTTTAATCGGGCAGCTCCACCCAACACTGTCCACCATGGGTAACCATGATCACATTTGATACATCAATGTCACAGTGTTTAGCATCACAGCAACCACAAGTTACCTCTGTACAGCAAGTGGACAGACCAGGGCTATACGACCTAGAAGAATGTTTCACATATTTTATGTGTATATTACACATATATTATACATATTACACATATTGCACATATCACACACACACATTCTCTATACCAATCTTTCACATTCATCTATATAAGATGCAGGGGAAACTTCAGTCAGTGACCATCTGAGACCCTTTCTCAATTTGTTAAAAGTACAAACCAACCCCCACTGCCTTCAGGTCAGTTCTACTTCACATAATCCCTAACTCAGGTCTTCAAGGCTGTAAACATCAAAAGGAGGAGACCCCCCCTTCTTTCTCCCATGGACTGGCTGGCACATTCCAACCACTCACCTTTTCTCAGTTGTGTAACATGACAGCACCATTTTGGTAAAAAGTAGGTCCTTCAAATTTCATTTTGAAAACTGGGATCTGTAGCTTTAATAAAAAGAAAACCATTGGACCTCTATTGATTTTGTGACCTTTTGTTCTGCATGGATACAGTGAAGTTCAGAAGTAGCCCTGTGGCATAAGCCTTTTATCCAGCAGGAATAGGTTTTCTCTTGAGCACTGAGTGATATCCAGATGCTTGATAGCTCTCTTACATCATCAGAGCAACACGAAGGATGAAACAGTTCACTTCAGTCTTTAACAGCATCAACTGTTGAGTAGAGTCAGTGACCTGAAAGCCTCATTTAACTGTTTGTTGTTGTTATTGTTCTGTGCTATTGAGCCACTTGTGACTCATAGCGACCCTAAGTACAACAGCCCTAAACCCTGCTCTATCCTGTGCCAATCTCATTGTCTCTGGCACACCTACCCCCATTACTCCAGTCACTGAATCAATCCATATCATTGAGGGTTTGCCTCTCCTGTGCTGTCCCTCCACTCTCCCAAGCATAATGTCTCTCTCCAAGGACTGGTTCCCCCTTGCAACATGTGCAAATTATGTCAGATCCTTTGCCTCCAAGGAGCAGCCTGGTTTCACCCTCTCCAAGATGAACTTGTTTATTCTCTTAACAGTCCATGGTATATTCAGTAGTCTTCTCCACAGCTCAAAGGCATCAACTCTCCTTCTGTCAGCCCTAGTCATTGTCCAGCTCTCTAATGCATAGCAAGTGATTGTAAAGACCATGGCCTGTATCAGATGCACCTTAGTCTCCAGACTGACATCATTGCTCTTCAGTACTTTGGAGAGGTCTTTGACAGCAGATTTTCTTATTTTTAAACATTTCAACCTGTTTTTCAACATTTTTAAAGAGCTATTAAAACACATTTTAATTGCCAGAAAGGGGGAAAATATTAAACCTGTACAAAAATGTGATTGGTGGAAACTAGTCCAGTTTCATATATTCCTAACTAGAAGTCTCTAGTTAGCCACCACTCAGGTGAGCCTCATGGGTTGCAGTCCTGGCAGAGTCCTGCCTGTGGATGTGTCGTGCATGTCCAGTGTTGGGAGTTTTACTGTTTTTAAGCAGGACATGTCTCTTAAGACCTGCCTTTCCCTAAGTGTAGCATATTTTGTATTGAACCTGTTTGGGACCCTAAGCGTATCAGTTTGTCTATAGAACCTATAAGGTGACCACAGGCCTTTGCATTCGACCTATGCTGTTTATTGTGGAATAGTTGGCTAATTCTAGAAAAAAGAATGACAATTTTTAAAATAGAATTTTAATAGTAATTGCAGTTTTAACAGCCATAGTCAATAGTACCAGGACATACTATCAATAATAACATCTAATTTTTTTTAAAAAAAAGTCTTCGTTATATAAATGATCTGTAGTGTGTATAAATAAACCTGATCTTACTTATCATCTGTTCTTGTTTTGTAGTCATACCCCATGGTATTGCAGTATCGACCACGAATTGATTTTGGTTAGAGACCAAGGGGCCCACCAGCCACCAGGATGAATCCTGCACTCTTTGTTTACTCGTCGACAAATTGCACAATGACCAGTGTGTGGACTAGAGGAACACAACCAGATTTTCAGCATGCAAATAAGGCCATTGTACGTCTCTAAACTGTCACCTGCATCTCTGTTGTTTCTATTACGAGCAAACCAAGTGCCATTCTGCGTAAGGCATCTGTCTCACAAGGTGCGCCTGTAGTTGGAATCAGTCAGGTGTGCAGCCACGAGTCAGCTTTTGAAATATTTTGCTTGCCTGCACCAAGATTGTTCTTATGTTTCATCACACTAGCAAACTGGCTCAGTCTTTGTGGTGTTGCAGTTTTCACATACTTAATATTTTATTAATTCTTGTTTAAATAGAGTACTGTACCAGAAACTACTATCTGAAATTATTTTGAATGGGGAATATATTTAGGAAAGTGGTTTCTGCACCACTGTCTTGTTCTCAGTGAGCTTTTTATGTACAAAATAGTTTGCTCTTGAGTGTAAAAATCCTTTTGTGAAGAATTCTAGTTGTTCTTTAGCATTAGAGCACGTCCTAAGTGTCAACATTAGTAGTTACCTGTCTGTGTGGTTCCCCAGAACTGTACCAGGAAGGCATGCTCACCCTCCAGAGTGAAAATATACGTGACTTTTTTGGAGAGCTGACATAAGAGTCACAATTATACAAAATGTTGGCAGGTCATCACATTTACTTCTAATAAAATTAGCGTGTGAGTAAGGTTAATCTTAATGCCTTATGACAAGCGGGTGCTGCTTCCTGAAATGTCATTGTGCAGTCCATTTTCTGTGTGCGTCACTGCACTGTTGATCTCATTTAGTAAGAACATTGTTTTGCTTTTTTAAGTTGGCCTTAGGTTTATGTCACTGTGGCATGAGGAAGGTTGTGAAGATTTTAAATATTAGGACTTTTAGAGCAGGTGACATTAGCTCTTTTATCAATTTCAAAAGTCTCAAAGCAATGGTAGACTAAACCTGTTAGATACGTGTGTATTTTTAAACCATATGCATAAAGTAGAATAAATACAGTATAATAGATGAATATTCTCACCAAAATCAATAGCTTGAGGGCATTTCATTTTAGATCCTATAGTAATCAGAGGAAAATGGCATTATTGTTTTATGTATATAAATTCATTAAGATGAGATCTTTGATAATGTCCTTGATTTTGCAGTTTTATTAAGTCTTCCATTCATTTTGAGGTTTGTCTGAAAGTCAAAGAAAGTAAACCTTTTGAAATTCAACAATTCTTTAAAATATTCTTCCTTGGCAGTTTAAATGGCTTTAAAGTAGGTTAACCCCTGAAAATTAGCAAAAAATGGTGAAAGTTAGGAAGAATAATTGGTTTAGAAATCTGACATGAGCACAATCTGTATTATACACATCATTTTTATACTGTATGATAGATGTGCTACATTTTCAGTAAAATGTATCATAATGAATACCTTCCAAATATCAAAAATGCTTCTTAGAAATAAAGTATTGTGCAGCTCTGAGAAACACATACCAGTACAGCTAAATTCTTGCTGTATTTAATAATATAAAAGGCCAAACTTTATGGTATCTTTTCAATTCTGTCTTCCCCCCCCCAATTCAAAAGGTCTGTATTAAAGTCAAAAGGTCTGTATTAAAGTACTCTGTTGTTTTGAATTTTGTCCAAAAAGTTATGGCAATACTTAGATTATGCTTGTACTTGGAAGGGCTCACAAGTAAACTTTAAAAGGCAGATTTTTACAAAGAATTTTTTAAAAACCTAGCTCTATAAATGGTTGGAACAGACCTTTACACTCAACCAAAAATGGAATATACTACTTAGCTGTGGGAATTATTTTGTTATGCTGTGAAACCTAAAACCCTGACCCTTAAGATAGTATTTTATTATGAATTTGCCACATGTAAGTCAGTGATTAAGGAGTGTTTTACACATTAAAGTTCATTTATTTAGCTTAAAATTAGATAAGGATACATTTTTTAAAATACAAATAAGAATTGGATGTTTTGGGGTCTCCAGCTAAAATGTATAGAGTCTTAAAAGAGTTTTCTGTACATTAGTTATTTAAATTTGACCTGTTACCTGACTGCATATAGTTTCACTATTTTTTTCCAACAAAAAATATTCAGGAAGCAGAGAATTAGGAATGATTTTATCTCAAATTCCTTTCTTTAATATTAATAAATTAACATTTCTAGTGAAATGAGTGGTTTATGTGCCAAAAGATGACAACTGTACATAGAGAAGAGCTTCAGTTATAGTTTGGGGAAAGGTGTCCATCCACAGTGGTCCTGCGTAATTCAGCGTTAGAACTACTGAGTTGCTCCAGCTGACCTCTCGTCTGCAGCTACAACTTCCTGCACCATAATCTACTTTCATGTCTGGATCCCCACTAACATCACCAGTAATTATACCCCCAGTCACTTTGTAAGCTTAGCAAGGTGTTGGGATTAACTTTATAAACTTAGGGTGCTTTAGTTAAATAGTTTACTCAAGTAACCTATAGGAACAATCATCTTGAGTGTGAAATGGGAGAATAAATAAAACTAATTTTTTCTTTAGTTTGTAGTTTCTTAAGCAATAAACAGAAAGAACTTGACTTCTGTAAGAGATTTTTAAAATGTTTTTATCCGACTTAGCAAAGATGTAAAGGGGTCAAGGAATTTTGGAGATGAAGAATAATCGTGATTCATAAACATCACTTATAACTGAAGTAAATCACACCAGTCAATGGGGAAACCAGAATATGACCTTTTCAGTAGGGAAGCAAGAAGCTTTCAGGACGTATGAAAAACAAAAGGCTCATTGTTGAGAGAATACCTGTTCATTCAGTCTGGAGTGGAAATAACATAGGCAGATGTCTTTCTATCACCTTTAGAAAGTATGTTTTTTTTCTTTATTTAAAATCTGTCACATACTAATATGCTACGTTGCATAAATGTAATGAGATGTCCACTCTTACTGTTTATTCAAATGTAACCTAAATTTAAGCTAATTCTTGAGAAAGAAGTTGTGTTTATATAGTATTATGAGCTGCTGTTTAGCTTTAATGAAAATATTTTAAGAGAAGTGCCTCATTGCTAGGGTGTATTTTTGTTTTAAATTTACTACATACATTTTTAGTTATCTGTACCTGTCCCTTCTGGATGGTTTCCTGTTTAAATTGACACTCATAAATTAATCTCTTTTTGAAAGATTTACATAAGAAAATAGTATCACCAAAGATATTTTATTGTTAATTAATAACTCTAGTCAAAGAAACAATTTTAACTTAGAGGTTAGAAAATGTAGTTGTATATAGCTAGACAATAACCTTGATGGAGTGCTAAAATATTCACCAAAGAAAGACTTTCCATGGAATTGTCTTGGTGACATCAGTCAAAGGTAGGATTTTTCTGGCAATAATCATAGCACACTTCCACTTAATGTTCAGTCTACTTCACCAGATTGTGGGAAATCTCAAGATTGAGAAAGAGAGAAATACAACAAATGCCTCCCTCTAGACTCAATGGCACTTAACAACAACAGAGGATAGATAAATGAGAGAAACCTCTTCCTGAAAAAGAAAATTGAAATTGAGGTTTAAAAATTGTAATTTGTTGAGATTTTTTTTTTATTATTATTATTCCATAGCGGCAGTTTAAACTAAAATTACATTTCTTTTCTCCTTTGGTTCTTGACTGTGTGGAAAAGTGATTAAGGAAAGCCGTTGGTAAGAATGATGAAGTATTTACTTGTATAGAAGGTAGTACTTTGTGTTGGACTTAACAGAAGTTCTTTTGAGCAAGTACTTTACTAGGTTTTAGAATTTGTCCATAAAACTAAATTTGACAAAGTGAGTCACAGAACAAAAGCGAACAAAAGTGAGAACTCTCCTCAACAGTTGGTTCCCCTTGGGAGTCCATGTGTGGGCCACCTTCCAGGTAAAGCTCATAGTTTATCATAAGTGTCACTAGGATAACAATGGCTGCATACCCTGGTGAGCTAAGCTTTATACCAATAAGAGGCTGGATGTTGTGGGAACTTCAGAAATGAATGAGTTTGCCATAACTTTAATTTTCTAGATTGTAAACACAAAAACTTGAAATCCTATTACTGTTATTTTAATATATTTATCCCTACAGTTTGGGGAGCAATAGGAACGTAAAACCTATTAGGTCTGGTTTATGAAAAATGAGAAAACATTAAATACACTATAGACAAACTCTTTTAAAGCACAAAATAACCAACTATCTCTGGATTTACTTGATATACTATGTCAGTCGTATTTTGATGGAAAACATCAGTTTGAAAAATCATTAAAATGTACTTAAGTATACATTACAGTGCTTTTATAGTTTTGTTGTTCTTAACACAGTGGCATTTCCCAACATTTTAAAAGTGGTTCTCTTTGTAGTGTAATATAGTTTTCACAAGTAGTGTGCTTGTTAACCGTCCTTATTGTATTTTCAAATAGAGTTATAACAACTAAGCACTTCTTTTTTGAAAATTATAAAATTAAACATTAAAATAACTTATTTTAAATGCTCATTAAAGTATGTCCGTATCCTTGTTATGCCCCCTTTTCTAAGACCTTCATGCTTTTGAATTTTAATTATCTTTAAATCCTGTGAATCTAAGTGAACACATGTATGTCAAATACTGGGTCTGGTTTTCTTTCATTTTATAGAGCTTCATGGAATAAGAAACTAATCTAGCATAAATGAAGATGAAGTATTTCTGGGTAGCATAGACATAGTAAACAAGGTTAACTTATTTATTCATATGCTTCATATGAACATCAGTCCACTGGAGGAGTTCTGCACATTGAAAGTGTAATGGGATTAGCCTAGAATTGCTTGGGGTTGATTTTCTTTTGCGCTGATTTTTAGAAGGGGGGTCGGGGGCCTAAGTGTCCTTATGAAGCTGTGGTCCAAGACAGGAGCTTGTAGGGGAGCAGCAGGGCATGCTGCTTTCCCACCTCGGCTCAGCACGACAGCACGCATCAGTTCTTAACATAGTTGCCCTCACAGTAAAGAAGAATATCATCGACTTTATTGTAAAGTTCTGTTGCTAATTTTCTTTTAAAATATAAGATATTTTAAGCTTTTTGTCAAAAGTGGTAACATCTTAATACAAATAAAAACCTTTTTGTGGTTGTAAGATTTAGCTTATAAATCATTCAAATTGAAGT